ATGTATATTAGTTATGGAGATATTAGATAGAAATATAGATCCATAACTGATATTTATCTTTATTTTTAAAAATGTTTTTATTGATTTTTGTTTTGAGAGAGAGAGAGATATCGATATGAGAGAGAAACATCTATCAGCTGCCTCCTGCACGCCCCCTTCTGGGGATCGAGCCTGCAACCTGGGCATGTGCCCTGACTGAGAATCGAACTGGGACCTCTTATGTCCATGGGGACGATGCTCAATCTACTGAGCCACACCGGCCGGGCTCCATAACTGATATTTATATAATACATATTACCTTTAGGGATGGATGAATAGGAAAATAGTGAGGTTTTTAACTTAAAAAAATAGATATCCAAAGCAAATACAGTGGTGTCAACATTTTAATATATGGGGGTGGGTACATAGGTTTATCATTGTAAGTTTAAACTACTTCATAATAAATTAATTGAAACTAATATGATATTGTATGTTAACTGTAACTAAATTTTTTTTTAATTTTAAAAATTAATATATTTAAAATTTTTATGGTTTAAAAGAATAATGCTGTAGAGCCCTGACTGGTTTGGCTCAGCGGTTAGAGCGTCGGCCTGCAGACCAGAGTCCTGGATTTGGTTCTCGCCAAGGGCACGTACCTCGGTTGCAGTTTGTTCCCAGCCCTGGTTGGGGTCCTGTGGGTGGCAACACTCGACGTGTCTCTCTCACAGAGATGTCTCTCTCTCTCCCTGTCCCTCTCCCTCTCTCCCTCCCACTCTGTCTGAAGATAAATATCCTCGGGTGAGGATTAAAAATAAATGAATAATTAAATAACAGAAGAATGCTGTAGAAATTTAGATGATTAGAAGAAGCTGTTCCAATAAGTCCAATTTTCTTACTTTTGAGCCCGGAATATACAAGGCTGATTATTTTCCATCTTTAACAAGAGGAACAATAGAGACTTAATGTGGAAGAAATGACTTTTCCTGGTATAAGTCAGTGGCAATTTTGCAAATGAGTGGTTATTTCCAGGTGGAAGAGAATTATCTGAACATAATTATACTGAATCCTATAGCTTTAAAAGTGTGTTTCCACTCACATACATCTAGGCAGGTTGCTCTTTTTCTTCCTTGCAGGGTGTGGTGTGAGGTTTACAAGGCGCCGCTAATGAATGCCACATTCTGACTGCTGTTAAAAATGTATGATCCGAGCAGAGACTTTGGAATAACAATTTGCACACTTACAGTACTGGGTAGCTGTGCAAGACCTACTTGACTTTTTAAAAACCCCTCATTAAGACTTCCTTTTCTTTCAAAATTGCAGTAAACATTGTCTAATGCAATTCCGAGGAGCTCATTGGACGCTTAGGAAGACGAGCAGGAAGTGAACCCACAAATGTAATTAACTTTGGATCCTATGTAATTCTTAGAATGAACAGCAAGGAGCCAGAGGTTTTTGTTTTTGTCAGAGTGGTAAATAAGTCTGAAACATTTCACTGGAGAGGCAAGAGTCACTTGAGATATATGGTTAAATATGAGGGGTGGAAATATTTCATATAAACAAGTGGTTTTACACAGCACACATTTTTCTGAGAAAGTAGTCTCCATGCATGCGAATTAGATATATACCCACAATAAGAGGGCATACTGACCTATAATTTTCAATATTACATCCTTGTATTTTTTTATTATATGCTATTTTTCAACTAGTAGAGGAACATGGTCTCATAAAGATAATATTTATTCTTGCAGGTTTATGGAGCTAGTAGTGCATTTCAGGAAATGAGAAAGTATGAGAAGTCGAATATAACTTGGTGTCCTGAGCACAAAGGAAGACAGGACAGGAAAATCGCTGTGTTTAAAAAATCTGGCTCAGGAACTGTGTTATAAGCTTCAAATAATTAAATAACACAAGATAAGGAAAACCCTTGGTGTTATTATTCCTCTCTCCATAAATGTAGCCTTTTTATAGATGATAAATCTTATCATGTAGGATTCTTCATTTTACGAGAAAGTCCTTTAATCCCGCGCCATTTTTCAATCCTGTGCTCACTGTGTGTGTTTTCTGGAAGCTAAGACTGATAGTGAGTGTGATCCACTATAACAACAGAGACACTCCTACTTAGAATTGTACCTTTAAGTCATGAATTCTTCTCATTTTGTTATTAAGTAAGTCTATATTAGGGAATTCAATGAGTACTTGTGCTAAATTCAAAGAAAATAGCAGCAAATGAGAATTTGTTTCTGCATGGGCCCACTGCACCTGTGTTACGGTGAATGTCTCGCGATATCAGAGCCTTAGGAAAGCTTCTGTGGGAGAACGTTCCTGCCGCTCAGTAGTTTCCAAGCCTTTGCTTTGCATTTCTAGCTTTTCTTGACACTTTGGAAGGATCCAAAAAAACAAAAGTCAGCAAGTCACTTCCCTATTCTCTGCATGCATAATGGAGGAAGTGGGCCTCCGACAAGGGAGGGAGGGGGGCCGACATGCTGATGAAGGCTAGAAGGTGGGTGAAGCAAGGGGTATCTAGCTGAAGGGAGAGAATTTCAGCTCCAGTCGGGGTCCTGTGTGCTCCCCACAAACACATTCTCAATTTCTGGGACATGGAGTAGAGATTGAAACCAGGAGGGAAGGTGAAAAGGACTTCCTTTCTTACTTCCCTTCTTCAGTTTCCTCTCAGAGTTCGATTTTCTACCGCTTCCTCCCCCCACGCCTGCACTGGCACCTTTACAACATCAGCTCCCCCACTCCCTCTGGGGTCCAGGCCCGGTCTTTTCCCTAAACCTCCAGAGTCGGACTCTGCTGTTTCCCTGCACTGAGTTCTGATATTATCTTTCCTATGTTCACGTTCCCATATCAAACCACAGTGATCTTTACGCACCAAACCAGAAATTCTGGTTCTCCAAAAAAAAAAAGCATTCATATATTCATGTTAGTGTGTTTCTAGAGAGCTACAAAATCCATGTAATCCTAGAGCAGAGGTACAACAGAGTGGGAAGAAAATGGTACCCAGAGCTAACAGCCAGGGCCTAGGCTGAGCTCCAACCTGCACTCAACTCTGCTAATGTCAGTCTTCTCAGCTCTGAGGAGTTCAGAGTCTGGGCAGTCTTGGTCCTCCTCTGCACGGAAGGGCGGGGTTTGAAGCTGGTTGTCAGGATGACGGGCGCTGGGAGCTAACTCTGGTTCCTGGGAACCAGGACTGTTCACTATTTTAAAATCCATGGGACAATCTTGCATCATAAATACCAACAGTGGCTCCATTGAGAAACACCAGATGATTTTTAATGCTCCTTCATCGAGTCTGAACTCTTAAACTTCAGTAAAATGTAGAGAACTTAAGAGACTTGGAAAAGAACTGTGAGAATAAAGACATTTTTGGATTATACAGTTTTATAGGAAAAGTTAAAAAAAAAATTGGTTTACTCTCCTGAAGAGAAAAAGGGTGACCTGAGTCTATGATAATGCAGGAGGACTCTGGCCAATAAATTCTCTTTCCGTGGAAAAAGAAACAAATTGCCACCCTAGGAAGTTAGAATCACTTTAGGCTTTTTTGACAACAAGGTCTAAGAAAGCAGAACTTATATCAGATTTCAAAATAAAAGTGAGTACCTAGGTATAAAGGTTTGGAAACAAGTGGATTCTCATTGGTTTCAGAAAGATCTCGAGCGAGATCTTGCTTGTAGACAAGGGAGGGATACTGAGGTAGCTTCTCAAGTCCTCTCTGGCACGTATGTCTCTGTGGATACACTTACTAGCTTTCTACACGCCACAGTGTTCTACCAACCTGACAGATGGAGAGCTGAAGACGGGGTTCCCCTCTCCCTCGCCCCTAACAGGTGTCCCAAGCCTCGCACTTCAGTATTCTCAGCTCTAAGTGAGGAGTTCAGAGTCTGGGCAGTCTTGGTCCTCCTCTGCACGGAGCCCCTCAACCACGAGGCCCAACAATGAAGGGTGCGGTGGGGAAACTGGAATCTAGCCCAGCTCTGCAGTAAAATCTACTTTGATTTCTCAGTAGAAATAAAAGAGAGAGAAGAAGGAAAAAAAACACACACGCAGTACTACAGTAAAGGGCTTTTAGGGGAGAAAATATTTGTCACCATGGACAGAATAAAAGTTCCAACAAATGAATAAAATGCTTGTGGAAAAAGATGTGTCATTCCAGGGGAAATGCTGTGTTCCTTTTCCCTTGCTCTTCATTTAGTTTTTGTTCACTCAGTGTACCAAGCTGTACCCTCTTTCCTGTTTATTTTTCCATCCATGAAAGATGCATGGATTGAATATATCCTTTGGGTAAGTCTTTTGTCAGAAAGCACTTTCAAAATAAAAGTGTTTTACTTGTACTATCTCAGCAGCAAAACATGTACTTCCCAAATTGGTTTGCTAGCAAGCTTTTTCCCTGAGTAAGCAACAATATTGTTAGTAATCTTTCAACTGTATATTAAAAGAAACAACACATTAAAAGAAACAACAACAACCCCATTCTACCATTATGAATCATAGGGTGAGGGGCCCTTGGTAGAACTCAACGAAAGCATTCTGGCCAGTGAGACTTTATACCTTAAAAATGATGATAATACTAATGATAATGATAATGATAATACTAATTGTTATCAAGAAATGCAGTTTTGATTTTCAGAGCTTCGAAATACAATTCATCCACAAGGTCTTAACTAATTAAAAGTATTGAACAAAATCTCATATATGTGGTTATGCTATATATATTTACTGAATCTGTTCAGTAAAAACCTATGAATGCAGAAATAAAATCTGTTTTAAGCCAATGTGAAGGATATTTTATTTCTAATATCCTTGGAACATCTCACAGAATATACAATAATAACTATGATGAGTTGCAGATCCAATTTCTTTTCATTGAGATCCATCTCCCAGTGAAATCAAAGGACTACAATATGTGCATAATCTACTCCCCGAGTTCTTGTTGCAGTAGAGTAGGACTATTATCCATTTTTAAAATATCACTCAGAGTTAATATCTTCGGTGAGAGAAATGGAAAAATTAACACAAACCTTAAGACTCCAGCAGATCAGAAGACAGTGTTCTTTAGGGACTTGATTGGAACAATGTGCTCATAAAAGTCTTTCAAAGGGAAGCTGTTCACAAAGGAGGTCCCACAGAAGGCAGTGTGGCTTTGACATGCAGGTGCTTCTAGAAGGGAAGAAAAGCACACCATCAGACTATGTCCAGAGGACCTGCCCGCCAGTCTCAGCCTTCGTGGTCGGAAAGCACTGCATTAGCACGTATTGCTGTTATTAAAATAATGGTAGTAATTCTGTTCATTTTGTGCCTCCCACATGGCCTTATGTATAAATGTCAGAGTGGGGAACAGTAACCTTTCAGCACTGCCTTTAGAAATGTCGAAAGGTCAGAAGCACTTTACTAATTAAGCAAAATCTGCTTTTCCCTTTCTCTAAACAGGCCAGTATTGAAGAACTGTGGGTGGGTCCAAAGGCAGCAACACGAGTGATCAGTGGGCACCAGCCTGGGGCGAGGCACCACGAGGGCCGTTGTGGACACTGCCTTCGAACAGCCCTGGCCCCATCTTACAGATGACAAGACCACAGCACAGTCAGGCTTAGAACCCGGGTCTCGCAAAGCCCAAGGGCCTCAGGTGTGGCTCTTTCCCTCATTTCACTCTGTGGCCTATGTGATTTAGAAAAATTCTTTCACAAACAGAATTGACAAGAGAACAGATAATGTTGCAATATACTAAATTAATTCAAATAGTAATAAATTAGTGAAGGAATTTCTTTCTTAATTTGTTTTCATTGTTTGTATCAAATACTGTCTTTTTAAAAAATCCTCACCCAAGGATATGTTTTAACTTATTTTTAGAGAGAGAGGAAGGGAGGGAGAAGGAGAGAAAGAGAGACAGAGGGAAACATCAATGTGAGAGAGAAACATCCATTGGTTGCCTCCCATATGCATCCCGTCCAGGTAACCCAAAACCTAGGTATGTGCTCTGATCAAAAATCGAACCCACAACCTTTAGACATACAGCACGAGGCTCCAATCAGCTGAGCAAGGCGCCCAGGGCTCAACATTGTCTTCTTCAGGCAAAGCTCACAGAAACACAGACACCCCGCCTTGAGCAGCGCACTTCCCCTCCCACTTCCTTCCTTCCGGAGAGAGAACTCTCGGGGACCCAGTGGCTCGCTCGTGTTATGGGGCAGTTGTGTGTGCGGGGTTCCATCAAGGATACATTGCAAACACTGAACCTTCCCAAGGTCCCTTTGCATGACCCGCAGTTCCTTCAGTCTCAGTGAAAGAGAACACCTTCTTTTCCCTTTCCCAAGGGTTTTCCTGATGCAATTGGAAATGGAACCCACACCCCTGTGGCTATCACTGAGTGATACTACCGCATCTCGTCATGGCTAGCTGTCTCCATCTTCACAGCTGCGCGTGACTGGACGAGGCTCGGCAGGCCTCCATCTGGATTTCTATTCTCTTGTTTAGTCAAATACCTGCATGTATGGGTGGTCCCAGTGCCCACACAGACAGCAGCACAGTTCAGCCTCCACCGCCATCCACTCCCCTACAGTGTGTTTAGGGGTCCCACCCACCAATTAATCACTTCAAATTTCTCACGAAGTTCTGGCTTTTAATGCCACAGACTTCTGTCTGGGTCTTGGAACTTTTAGCTGATATCCACACTGCACTGGGAAGGCTAGAGAATGGCAGAAGAGGGAGGTCACACGTCGTTTTTTGTTTTTAATTTTTTCTTTTTGGCACCAAAGCTGAAGTCATGAATAAGAAACAGGGAAAACAACTGACAGCACTTTCAGAGTTTTGCAGGCATGTAGCCTGGGATTATTACATCGGGAATAAAAGAAAAAGGAGCAGAGCCAGAGCCAGCTCCCCTTTGCACAAAAGAAGGGAAAGGGCATGACAAGGAACGGGGAGAAGAAGCATCTGGACTGTAGAGTCGAATCTAAACGATAGAATACAAAATAAACAAAAACTTGTCTTAAAACCTCATCCAGTAGCATTCTGTTTTCTTTAAGCCACTTAAAAGCAAATTTTCATGTGATATACACAAACATGTAGACCCCTTTCCCCATGAAATCCCAATGGCAGTTTTCAAGTATTCACTCAGCCAATCAATAAGTGTGAAAATTCCAGGAATACTAAAATAAGCAAGATAATCTTTCCCTGGAGCAGCTTACTGCCTTGGAGAAGAATACAACAGCTAAGATGTCAAAAATTATAAGAAGGTAGTACTAATACATACTTGAAAGAACACGGCCTGGCCCAGACTGCCTGGCGGTGTTCCTGCTTTATCATCTGCTAACTGCGTGACCTGGGCAGATACTTAGACTTTTTTTTTTAATCATTTTTTTCCCATCCTCACCTGAGGACATTTTTCCATCTCTGTTCAGACAGAGTAGGAGGGAGAGAGAGGAACAGAAAGAGAGAGAGAAACATTGACATGAAAGGGAAACATCGACTGGTTGCCTCCCACAGGACCCCAACCTGGGAAGGGGATGAATCCTAATCGAGGTTATGTGCCCTTGGCCAGAATTGAACCTGTGACTCATCAGTCTGCGGGCCAACGCTCTAACCACCGAACCAAACCGTCCAGGGCTAAACTCTTTAACCTCAGCTTCTTCATCTGAAAAATGCAGAATGATATACTTCAGCACAGGTTGTTGTGAGCATTAAGTAAAATAGCCAATATAAAATGCTTGGTCCAACCAGTGGCACATGGCAAGAACTCGTCACATGTTAGGAAGATATTGCCGTATTGTTATATAACAGAATATGATGATATTGGTGAGGCAGAAAGTGCTCCGACTCCACTGGGTCTACAGTAACCCAGAAGGCCTCCGGGAGGAAGGTAACATGCAAGACCATTTGTAACTAAACAGGCCCAAATGATTAGGCTTCTACAGATTCTCTGATGATCACTGAAAAGCTAGAAAATGAGCTACTTTAGAAAAAATAGATCTATGAAATTAGACATTATTTTCCAGGATTTTGTGTGCAAGTAGATAACCACCATAACAACATAGTCAGAGAATGATTAAAACAAAATCTCTGCATTGCTACAAGATACAATATCCCACTGGATCCTGTTCTATTCAACTGTAATCCAAAAATGACATGGTTTTTGAAGGAACTTAGCAAGAAGGGTGTCAGGTTTGATTGCTCATCAAGGGAATGTACCTGGTTGCAGGTTTGATCCCCAACCCAGGTAGTGGTCGTGTGGGAGGCAACCAATTCACGTCTCTCTCTCACATTGATGTTTCTCTCTCTCCCTCTCCTCCACTCTATCTGAAAATTAGTAGAAAAATATCCTCGAGTGAGAATTAACAAAAACAAAAGTTTGACTCAATAAAAAATATAGAGAAAAATGTGATTCTTATAAGACCTTGTATTTCCACATAAATTTTGGAGCCAAGCTGTCAATTTCTACCAAAAGAGAAAACAAACAAACAAACAAAAACCTCTGGGGCCATATTCAATTTATATATTATTTTGGAAAAAAACTAACATCTTAACAATACTGAGTCTTCCATTTTAGAATATGGCATCTCTCTCCATTTATTTAGGTCTCCTTTAAATTTTATCAGAAATGATTTATAATTTTCAGTGTATAGGTCTTGTACTTCATTTAAATATATTATCTTATGGTTTTGATAATATTGTAAATACTACTGCTTTTCTTTTCATTTCAAATTATTTCTTAGTGTATAGAAATAAAATCGATATTTTCATAATGACCTTGTATCCTGAGGCCCTTCTTGATAAATTCAATAGGTTTTTACTAAGTTTAAATAAATATTTTTAGATTCCTTAGGATTGTCACAATAATGCTATTTATCAATAGAGATCATTTATTTACTTTGTCCTTTCCAATATGTAATCTTTTAAATTTTATTTTTAGTTAATCTTATTGCATTGGCTAAGATCTCTAGTACAATGTTAAACGAATTAGTGAGAGTGCACACCCATGCCTTCTTCCTGATTTTGGAGAAAAGCATTCATTCCTTATATTGTTAGTGGAAGGTTTTTCATAGATGCCCTTTATCAGATTAAGGAATGCTTCTATTCCTTGTTCTGCTGAGAGTTTTGATCATTACTAGGTGCTGAATTTTGTTATATGCTGTTTCTGAGTCTAGTGAGATAATCACATGATTGTTTCCCTTTATTCCATTAATGTTGACTGATTTTTTTTTTTTCCTTTATTGAATTTAGAGAGACAGGAAGGGAAAGGGAGAGAGAGATAGAAACACTGATGAGAGAGAACAATGACTGGTTGCCTCCTGCATGCCCCCCACTGTGGATCGAACCCACATACTGGGCACGTATCCTGACCGGGAATCGAATTGGCGACCTCTTGGTGCGTGTGTCGACACTCAACCACAAGCCACACCGGCTGGACTCCACTGATTTTTTTAATGTTAAAGTATACTTGCATACCTGGAATAAATTCATTTTGGTAAAGATGTATCATTATCTCTATATATCACCATATTCTATGCCTAATTGTGGGTTAAATATTTTCATGTATATGGTCAAGGGAGATATCAATATGTAATTTTTTTATAGTGCCCTTATAATGACCTGGTATTAAAGTTATGCAGATTCCTGCCCTGGCCAGGTAGCTCAGTTGGTTAGAGCATCGTGCCAATATGCCATGGTTGTGGGTTCAAAGAAGCAACCAATGAATGCATAAATAAGTGGAACAACAAATTGATGTTTCTGTTTCTCTCCCCAATGCCCTCCCTTTCTCTCTCTCTCTCTCAAATCAATAAATAAAAATTAAAAAAAAATAAAGTTATGCAGATTTTAGAGAATCACTTGGGAAGTGTCATCTCTAACTCTACTTTCTGTATTTGCTTAAGATTAGTATTATTTCTTCCTGAACACTTTGAAGGAATTTATTAGTACTAATATCATCTACATCTGGAATTTTCTTTGTGGGACAACTTTCAATTATAAATTCAATTAATTTAACAAATACAGTTATTTCTATTTTCTATTTCTTCTTGTATCAGTTTTAGTAGATCTTATCTTACTAAACAAGAAATGTGTCCATTTCATCTAAAATGATTTTGTCTCTTACTGCTTCTCAAGTCCCACACTTAGGTCTTTTCCTTTCTACATCGCCTAACTAAACTATGTCC